CATCAATCGGCGCCTGCCTGCAAGAGATCGTCTGATTTTGCGGCGGGCTTCGGAGATGACGAGGACCCATTCCTCCTTGTCCGCCAGGTGGAGTCGGAGGACGTCTACAAGGCGGGATCGACGGATGGCAGGACGAAGGTTCCGAGGCAAGTTGCGAGGACCCATGTCGAACTCGTCATGTATGCGTCGATCAAGAGCAGTCGCACGCTATTGGTTGACGATGTTGTCGTCAGAATGAAAGACATCATTGCGATGCTTCCACATGCCTTTACCGAAAAGGATGAGCTGTCGAGATAGATTGGCAGCCCAAAGGTTACCGGACCGGCGACTACCGCGAGAGCGGTAGAATTGTTGCTGGAGGTCGGCCCAGCTGTGGGCGAGAAGGCCTTTGAGGAGGCATTGGGGGCCAAGGCGGAGTTGGGCCTCACAGACTTGGGTGAGGGCGGAAGAACACATTCCGTGGAGGCGGTACCACGGAGTCTGTGTTTGAGGCGGGTTGCTAGGGGTGCGGATGGTGCAAAGAAGGGCCCCGAGGAATTGGGCAATGGGTGTAGCGGTGGTGGTGGACTGGAACCATTCTTGGAGTTCTTGGAGTAGGAGCTGCCACTGGGTCTTGGCCCGGTCGGAAGGGCAGCGGGGAACATGTAGGTGGTCCTCCTCCAGTCCGCACAAGGGGCATCGGTTGGCGGAGTCGAGACCCCATCGTTGACGGAACTTGCCAACACCGCACATGCCAACGGTGTGTTTTGTGATGAAGCGCTGTTCGGCGGGCTTCAGAGACTTCATCGCGCATGTTCCTCACTGGTACTCACACACGGTTTGCTGGCTTCCACGACGGCGTCAGTTGGAGCACTGGCTTCCTGTGTTCCGGTTGGGGTGCTGGCAATGACGTGGACGGCGTCAGACAGGATCACTTGTTGTCTAGGAGGAGTGGCATCAGAAGGTGGAGTTCGTTGGAAGGGTTGGGACCGACCCTTTGGTGCCGGGTCGGTTTGCATCGGGACAGCGGGAGACGGACGCGAATCGTTGGCCTTCGCACCTTTTGGGTTCTCTGGAGTAGATGCAGGGCGCTTCTTAGACTTGGACTGAGCCTTGGATATTTTAGACTCCCTTTCTAGTCGCTCGAATTCCTCCACAACGGGAGGAAGAATGACCGGGCCTGTCCAAGGATGAGCAAAGAATTCGGATGCCGCTAGCCACATCCAAGTCAACGGCTCGGCGCGTTGAACAATTAATGTTGGGTCGAACACGAGCGCGAATTCCCAAAAGCGAGGCGACTTTTCGTCAGTTTTAATAACGCGTTGGGCCGCAGCGAGATCAAACACAACCGTGGGGCACTGTGTCGCGAGGCGAAGAAAGTACTCGTGAAGAGACCAGGAAGCTTCGTCATCGTCGGCGTCGTCGAGGTCGCCAAGAGAAAACAGATTCTGCATGCTGGACCGAAGCTGGGGCATAGAACCACCAAGTGATGGGTCGTACACCTTCAAGCCAGACAGGATTAACGCAGCGATCTCGTCGTAAGAATGAGCATCGGCTTGGTCCGTACTGGCTTCAGCCCACCAGCCGGGGCATTTGGATATTGCATGACCAAAGTGTTCCGCGGTGCGAGAGGACCAGGTGATAAATGCTTGGTTCCCAAAAACCTCCTGCCTCCAAGCCTTCTTGTAGAGCCGGTGAAACTTGGACACCCTGAGTTTCTTGGTGTACGCGACAAGCGGTCGTCCTTGCACTGCGCCATCCTCGGCGGTTTTGGAAGGAGGGGTTTGCTTGCGTTGGCTCTTGGAAAGCATGGTGTCAGGATTATCCTCGGTGAAATCGGTCGACGAAGGAGTGGTAGAGTTTGATTGAGCTTTGGCCATGGAGCCATCATGGCCTTGGGCAACGTCAGATGGGACGAGCGAACTGCCTTTCATTGCGCCATCCTCGGCGGTTTTTGAAGGGGATCGCTTGCTGCGGAGCTGGGAAGGTGTGATGGCTGGGTTGTCCTTGGTAAGAGCAATCGACGATTGAGTGGTCGAATTTGATCGGGTTTTTTCCTCAAGACCTCCCTGACCTTGGTCAGCTACAGTCATGATCGAATTTGGGTCCTTCTCCGGCGGGTTGGTGGTGCTATCCTTCATGTTGGCTTAAATTTAATTCCTGTTTCAACAACAACAACTGTTTTCCTTTATGTACGAAACGCGTAGGACTGGTACAGTTTTGTTTTGGAGAAGCGTGTGGAAGAATATTTTCTACCTGTTAGTTTTTGATTTTTGATTTCTGAATTTTATGTTGCACTGGTCGCTGGGATGCAGCTGTGCTGGATGAGATCACCCTTACAATTCGTCTGATCTCACTTATTGCGTTTCAGGTTCTGCCGCTTGCCTGTTGGTTGTTTGTCTGTTGGTTGCGTCTGCCCATTGCTGTAGTTCCAGTCGTTCCCATAGTCACTTGTGATATCTGCGTGGCTGCTTTTGCCGGAATTGCAGCAGGCATGTTGTTGGATCTGATTGATGCTATTTCGGCTTGCAATTCTGCCAGCTGCGTTTCCACTTGTTGTGTTTGTGCGGCTTGTCCTGTTGCCCTTCTTGCTGGTAATCCTTGACTTTCTCTGTATGCGGCTCTTCCCTTTGCCATACGCTCGCGTTGCTTGTTGGTAAACGCTTGTAGGTGTGTCCGAGAGAAACCGTAGCTAGGATGGTACGCGACGTTTGTTGCCTCCTCCATCGTTTCTGCTTCTGCTTCTGTTGCGATTGTTGTCAGCCCTAGTTTCGCCCAAGTATTGTCCCCTATCGGTTGCATTGCTGGTTCCCTGGGGAAACTTTTCTCTCACTGCAGTTTGGTAGATTTGTAATGCTATCGTGAAAGTCATCAACTTCCGTATCGATTGCCATCTTGTTCAGTTGTAGGAATGGTGCTGTAACCTTGTTTTGTAGGCTACGCAGTTTCATTGCATCTGAATGGACTTCTCTCCCCTGATGTTTGTCACATGTTGCATATGCTTTCTTTAACATTTGTTCAAACATGGACCAGTTCATTTTTGGTTGGATTCCTTCACCCTCGTAGTGGGTACGTAGTGCGTTGAATGCTTCTCTCCCATTGCCTGCAATGTTGATGGCTTGGAGAATCGCTTCAGCTTTGGTATTCCCCACGATAAAGTTGCTGAGAAGGACTAGGACTTTGGCGTTATCCATGACGTATGCTTTGCCAACATGTGGTGCCATGTTGACGTAGGTTTCCAAGAAATCTTTGTGCAGGGTGAGCATTCCTGCATCGTTCATTCTCACAATGTAGCTCAGTGGCACACCGTCTCTTCCTGGTATGGTGCGAAGGTAATTTTTGAACGTTGGGCACCAATCTTCCCAATGGACATCATTGGTGAAATCTTGCAGAAGTGCTTGTTGCAACATCAACTTGGAGCCATACACATATTGTTTGTGTGTTTTCATGCGTCTGAGTAGTTTGGCTGCATCAACGACGGGAAATGGCGTTGTGGAAGGGTCTCGTCCCATGCAAATCTTGTCTCTGCACCATTGGATGAATGTGCGGATGTTATTTTTGATAGCTGGCATTAAGCGTATCTGTCCTTGTGCAATTGTCAATCCTGCGAGGGTCTTGAACTGTTGGTTTAGTTCGTCAATGGTGCTGTCCATCGTCGTGGTGAAATCGTCCGAGAATATTTTGTAAGCAATTCTCTCGGCTTGTGTGCGTCCTTGGAAGAGGGTGACATTGTCAATGCCACAGATGACCATG